GTAACTGCGTTATAGTTACAGTCAAAGTAATTAGTTAGATTACTCGTTACTAAAACAAGGTAACGGCGTTAGCAACGCCGTTACTTTCAACGCCGTTAGTCCCATCACTGCCAAGGGCTGAAGTTCTCTTCAGTTAACAACAGCGGACCAACACACAGACTCCGAGGACTTAAACTGAAGAACACAATGCAATACACCTTAAAACCAAAGGACACGCCTTAGACCAAAGTGTTCAGATTTGGGACAGAGAGGACAGATGGTTTGAAAGAGGCATCAAGGAAGCCTTCTTTTTGAAAAGAGAAAAGCTAATACCGAACAGTGGGACAGGGGGGATTGTGGTTTTAACTTCCACACATTTACAATTTAGTCATGGAAATCATTCCCCAGGCCATACTTAAGCACTCCTACTATGATTCAAAAGACCAATTATAGAGCAATGCACAACAAAGGGTTCCAACCATCCAGTAGAACAAAGGGTGGCTATTTGATTAGCATCTGAATTGAAATGTGTGAGGGAGCATGGACCTCAATGCTGCTAAATGCTGCTCAACCACAAGCCTCCTGATTAGGTGTCAAAATATCTTTAAAAAAATAGCTGTTTGCTGATTCCATGACCCGGATGACTGAGGATTTAAAGTTGTAGGGAATTAGCTGTTCCAACCGTTGCATTTCTGAATTCTCCTGAGTGGTGCACGACTTTACACAGGTGAATGTGATTGGTTGATTATCAAGAAGGCAGCATTGTTGTGGCGGAAGGTTCGCAAGCAAGTTTGATTGTGGCCAGTCTCTCTGAAGCATCTTGCTAACCAGTTACCAACTTAGTGCTAGCAGGTTCCCAATGGGAAATTCCATTTTGACCAAGGAGCACTAGATTGGTGACTTAGAAACAACACTGTCAAGGAACGCTATGGACAGAGGAAACATGCAAGAGGAAGAGCGTTTAGTGTCGAAGGTCGTGGATGAGTCTCCTCTGTCATACATTTTGTATTTAGAGGAAGAAAGCAGGGATTAAGATGTTGTGGAAGAGGACGCCAGGGCGGCAGAAGCTTGGTTTGGTGTAGAAGGCTTCCATCCGTACATGTTTGAGCCCTTGCCTCGCAACGCTGCCAGTTCTGTTAGCTCTACACCTGATGATTCTTACCTATTATTTCAACCGTTGCATATATTAGCTGCGACATATGAATCAAGATGCTATGACTGAAAAAATTCAATTGACAGAAGATCGTTGATATATGATTGGCCAAATTTAGATGTTCAGGCTGACGTATAACTAATTGGCCTAAATAAGATAAGGAAAAAAAATAAAACATTTTAAGACAGGACTTTTTTTTTAAATAGAAAATTTCTTAATTTTGTTTCTGATAAAGAGCACATTTATATACATGTTTAAGCCAGAATAATTTGACATTTAAATATATTTTCTCTGCGACTTTAAACAGTTATTCTCAGGGTGCTCATCTTTCAAGTTAACATTATTCTTTTTGACTGTTGCCTTTTGAGTAGCCCGATAAACCAGACGAAATGGGAGATTAAATGTGTAATTTAGTCTGGCCCCGATGAATGAGACATTGGAAGATTGTTGCTGAGAATAACTCGGTGTTTTTCAAACCATGTGTGTGCCTTTTGGCCAACGCTCTGTCCAATGAGCACAACTGACTGTGACATAGGAAGTGCGACAGGAAGCTGGTGGGGGAGTGTAAATAAACAGCTTGTCATCATTTTTCAAAGTTCAGACCCAAATTCAGAAAACCGAACAGAAAGACCAGGGAAAAGGTTTAACGGGTTTTATTGAAGAAGTTAAACAGAGGGAGAAGTGTTGCTCTGAACACTGCTCAACCGGAACTGTAAAGTGAAGGGAAGACACAGTGGTTAGTTCAGGCTCAGTGGGGAATTTGACTTGTGAACTTGGAGAAGAGGATTTGGTTGCTGACTCACGTTTCCA